TTTTTTTTTTTTTTAATTTCTTTTGTTTGTTCATCAGCCGTCCATGAGATTTGGTCAAAAGAAAATAAAGTTAATTAGGTTAAAATAACCATTGAAAAATGTGTGCTTCTATTTTTATATACGTTAGTTCAAATGTTGTGTCCTCTTCAAACGCTGTATAAAACTTTGGTGATAAAATTCGTATTTAATTCTTTAGTTCTTGTGCGATTCAAGTATTGCTTTAATACAAACCAAAATTTATTCATCTTGAAAAATAATTACATGAATTTTCTTTTTCCCATTTAACGCTGTAAAGAGTAAATTTGTCTTCAAATCACAACGGAAGATCGCTAAGCTCGAATAAGCAAGTGCCTAACCCACCCACAACATGAATTTGATAAAAATATAAACTGAACTACAAAAATAATGTATTAAAGAATAACACAAGCTATAATCTTATGATTGACATCCATATCCAATTCCAATGGAATCGATAGTCATTCCGTGGTCTTTTTTTGCGCTTTCATGATGAAGTCAAGTTGATACATATGGCAAGCAAAGGAAAGACACCCCCTCTCCCAATTTCCCAAGGGCTTGGGGAACGTTTGATTGAGGATATTGAAGAGTTTCTAGTTCAATCAAACATGTGATTTAAATTTCACGTAAGAATCGAGGCAAAGTAAAACCCTAAAAGATGATGCTATAGATGGTATATCCATAATGGTAAGGCTTGAATTTGCACAATCAAGAAATGCACTCTGAAAGTAGAAGGAGACATGCATTATAACAAAATCCCACTTTGATGGACACACATTCTAAAGGAAAAGCATTAGGATTGCATAAAAGTTCGATGTGTCCTCTTCCAACCCATTGCCACCCCCATGAACTATGCCCTTAATTTCCACACTCTAATCATTATGTCTATGCATTCGCGTTACTATTTATGCTTCACTTGATGCTGCTCAATAATGAATGCAACATATACTTGTGGAAAAGAAAATGATTGTACACAAATCATTAGTTGTCCCGTGTTTCTGTTTGTCAAGTTAACGGACTTGTACGGAGTGACAAAATGAAATTTAGGCCTTGTTTGTTTCGTATTAAAATTAAATATTAATGTAAGTCAAAGTCAAACAATTAACATTAATCACATCTTTTATGGGTCTCACAGCTTTTCAACTACACATTTCAAAAACTTCTATCACAATCTACTAAAAATCTAATTTTAATCGCTACCAAACACCTACTTAGCGACTCATTTGAAATTCAACAAGAACATAGGTTTGGGGCCCGGAAAAATTTAGCATTATTTTGAAGTAGGTCGAATAGGGTTGTTTCATTTTACTTTTGTAGTAGATATTTTACATAATTAAGCGTGCTCCGTGAACCACTCATTTCGAAAATATCTGCTACTAAAAATGGGACATTCATATATTCAAATATTGTCTTGAAGAAGCATGAACTTCCAAGAAACCTAAACTGTTTTAATGAATAATGGGACAATAACTCATAATTCGAAGGAATAAAATGTTGAATTGATAATCTGCAAAATGCAGAAATTTAAATTTATTTTGTAGACTGTCGAATTCCTGAATCCAATAAGAATTTCTGTCTTCAAACTACAGTCAAATGTTCGAAAACAGCACCAACTGTAATGCCCATATGGAATACAGTAAACAAAAAGACAATCTGAGAGACAAACCCAGCTGTCTGAACATGGTTTTGAAATCAAAAGAAACAAAAAGTGGACATAATAAAGGCCATAAATCGATTGTTCCCAATGAATTATGATAAAAGATCATGAGGATGAAACGCACTCTTAATTAGTTTAATTTGCATTCTTTACAATGACAGAAATATTCCTTATCATCAGAACAATCACCAAAAAAAGAGAAAGAAAGAAAACGATACATTCACTAGCAAGTTCAATATTGCGCTCTAGACGATACATGTTATACATATATGTGAAAGTACTGTCTCGAATATAACATCGAGAGACATATTAACACGTCATTGTGATCTAAACAAGCACACGTATCTAAATTAAAATCTAGTAAATGCTACAGAATAGACAGAGGTATTTAGTTGGTTTTTTCCTTTTGTTTAGAAATTTTAATTGGTCGGACCGACTCTTGGAGATGAAGACGAAGAAGTTGGAGACGGCCAAAACTGGGCACTCTTCACCTTGGAAATACTCGTAAGTACGCCTAGAGGTGTCAAGTCCCCGATTACCGTCACTTTTTTGGTGGCCAAATCTATACTAAATGATGTAACTCCTGCAAAAAAAATAAAAAATTGTTTCTTGAAAGCAAAGACACTACTAGTAATAAACTTAACTAGATTAGCTTTAGAAACATAAACATGGCAGCATTTTTTACCTTAAAAACATTCTAGCATGTTTATATTTGCAAGAACGACAAGTTAAGTTTTAATTTAAATAACTTCGGAGTCTTCTACGTGAGTTTCTTCCCCTTATTGCTACGTGTAATGGAAAACTCAAAATATTTTTATGGAATTTGTAATGTCTTGAAAATACTTGCCTTCCATTCTAGAGATATGTTTTCTCAATTTTCCTTCGCAACCCTTGCAATGAATTGACACCCTCAATTCAACAACCTATAAAAAAACATAAGAAAAATTATCAGCAATTAAGTACCGATATTTGAAGGGAAAAAAATCGTAAGTAGGATAAAGGAGTAGATAAAGAACCTTTAAATCGCGATGACTTGATCGATTTGATGTACACTTGTGAACATCAAGATGATCACTCAAGCGTGTCAATGGAAGCTTTTTTTGAGTATGAGTATCATTTGAGAGCGTTGGCAAAGATTTATCCACTAGAGAAGTGTACTGCTTTACGAGCATATTATTATTCGACTCCTTTGGCGAGGATTTAAAGACCGGATTTGTATACTGCTTTACGAGCATATTCCTAGGAGGAGAATCATACGATCGACTGGACAGAGACTTGTAAACCGGAGAATCGTCCGAATCTGTACGTTTGGTCCTAACAGGCTGATTCCTAGGAACCAAGGTCGAAATGCGTTCAGAATCTGATGTGAAATCAAGAAATGGTTTGTCACTCAATAAGTATCTCGAAGAACCTTTGTCATTCACATCAGCTGAGCTTTTTCTACGTAATAATTCACTTTGCTTAGAAGA